TGTTAACCCTGGTTTCTTGTGCTTGAGTGAAGAAGGAATTTCCACTCTATACTTAATAGATTTTTTTTGTGATATGTAATTTTTAACTCAGTATGTACCTTTTTTGTAATGAAAATATACAAATCTGTAAGAGAAATGAAAACAGGTTTCCTGCCCGGAAGGAATTTACAATCTAGGTAGTGAGCAATGACTTAACCAACCTGGGGATGGCTTTACAGTATTAACAAGCAACAATGAAATAACAAAATGAGATGTACTTGTAGGTGATCTGTGGGACTCACAGTAAAGAAATCAATCTGACTTGGACAGGGTTAATCAGAGAAGAGTTTCTGGTAGAACTTGATGACTGGGCCAGGATATAAAATAAATTCTGGTACATTCTCTGTATCAACAGGGTCTACACTGGAAGACTCAACCATCCATGAATCAAAAAATTTGCATCTGTACCGAATAGGCACAGGTTTTTTTCCCTTTTATTATTCCCTAAACACTACAGTACACTATAAACACTACTATATACCATGAATTGTTAGCAATACATTAGGTACTGTAAGTCATGTAGGGATAATTCTAAATTTACAAGAAGATGTGTGTAGGTGATATACAAATGCTATGTCATTTTATACAAGGAATTTGAGCATTCTTAGATTTTTATATATACATAGTGTCCAGGAACCCATCCCCCACAGATACAAAGGGATGACTACATTTTTAAAAGATTACTATTACTTTCAAGGTGCCAGACCATGTATCAAATATTTACATGGATATTTTCATGTGTTCATAAAAATATTATGAAACACATATTTTCTACATTTTAGAGATGAGAAACCAGAGGTGAAAGAGCTAATGAATATTCCTTAAATCAAACAGCCAGTCTCTAAAGAGAAGATTCTTAAAAGAACACCAGGTAGTACTTGTCATTCAAAATTTTATGCTCCCCCTACTCAGCCACACTGCCTAAATTTTCAGGAGGCAAAGAGTGTCTTTCTCATCAAAGGAATAAAATGCCTAAAGCAAAAATGTGGCTGTAAATGCCCAGGAGAAAAGTCATCATCACCCCATCCTTAGGCTGAATATTTTTCAGGATCTTGGTCTTTGGAGGATACTTTGCAAGAAAATAAAGGCAAAGATCTCACCCATCTTTGTCCTTGGCAAGGTGTTTCTTATAACAGAGATAAAGAAGAACCTAAAAAGATATGCCCCCAACACAGGGGATTTACTTAGTTACTTTCTCATTGGGCAAAATACCTAACACAAGTTGAAGGAAGAAAGGTTTATTTCAGCTCAAAATTTGTAGAGTTTTCAGTCTAAAGTCAGCAGTCCAAGGCAAACTGGCATGGCAGAAGGGCATCACTGAGGGGAAACAGTTTATGGCATGTCAGGCAGAAGGCAGCAAGCAGCAAGCAGCAGCAGCAGCAGCAAGCCTGTCTTCTTTCTGCCCCTTTATATTCCATCCAGGCTACAGGCCTATTGATTGGTGCCATACCCAGGGTGGGGCTTCCACTATCCATACCTTTAATCCCAGTATCACACCCTTAATCCACATTCAAACATCATAATCCAGCCACCTTCAAAACTCCCCACATATGACCACATGAGGGTTTGGAGGGACATCTAGATAAAGCCCTAACAGGTGGACACAATGACATTTACATCCCTATCCTAATGCCAGGTGTTGTAAAGGCCTATTAGCTGCCACAGAACAGACACTGCATCTCAAATTTATCTCTGTAAAATTTATCTCTGTATTTATCTCTGTATCCCCACAGCTTGTCAGTGTCTGGGACTCAGTAGGAGTTCAGCATTTGTGACACGAACATTTCTTAAATCAAACAGTGTATCCTGAGGCCAGTGCCTCCAGATACATCCCTACTAATCCATTTTTGCCTATTTCACTACCATCTTCAACTGGGCTGCCACCAAGCAATTACAAGTGTGTCCTCAGCAAACATGCTGTCCTGCTCTGGAGGTCCCGTACACGCACCTTTGGCCACAGCCATCCTTGTGTTCCCAGCCACCATCCTGCACCCTACATGTTCCCATGCAAGGAGATATGCAGCCTGTCCATGGTCCATCCAGGGAGGAATCAACATTCACATCAGCATTCACCCTCCCAGGGTAATGCACAAGACTCTTAAGTTTTATCTCCCTCTCTTCTATTTATTTTCCTGTTCCCCACTTTGTCAAGACCACCCATCAGATCTGGTGACAGAAACGAGTCCACCGCTAAGGACAGAGACAGTTCACTCCCCTCCTGAGAGGCTCGCTGTTCACACACCACAGTTGCACAGGGGCTTTCTAGACACTGTCTTAATCCAGGGGAGTAACTCCAAGGGCGGGACTCATACCTAATGATGTAGACCTTATGGCAAATCAGACCATGAGCTGCCACCCTCATCGGTCTCACCACAGCAGACCTAGAAGGTAGCCCACTCCCACACTTCTCTGAGTTGAGACAAGGAGGCAGTACTTACAGTGAGCACTTACATGGCAGGTGTGGCTAATCCTCTGTCCAAGTTGAAAACCCTGGCTGGCTTAGTCCTGCACCAGAAGCCAAGGCCTTTTCCACCAGCCACAGTAGGTTGCTAAGCAGAGAAGGAGCTGGGGCTCCTCGTTGCAAGCCAAACCACAATCCAGGGTGGGGAGCACTCCACGGGGAAACACATGTGTAATCTAAAGTCAAAGACAGGAATTCCTGTGGCATCTATCCCACCACTTTCACCCACTTTCAGGGTCTCAGTGTCTCCATCTGCAAAATGGTCTGTCTTGACAATTGCTAAGAGCCCCCCTTCCCTAGAAGTGTTTGATTTTCATTCAGCAAATGGACTCAAAGATGTCCTGCAGACCAGGCCCTCGGGAACCTCATAGAAGAGATAAGACAAGAATACTGAAGTCTATATACCACAGGCCCCGTGGAGTGATAGGACGTAGTCTGAAGGTTCAAAATGTTCCAAAAGTATAATGTCATTTTTAAAAATACAAAAAGCTGTATGTCCAACAGAAGAAAAATCTAGAAGTGTATCAAAATGTGACTTTTCTGCTTTGCAGAATTATGCTTGCTTTTTTTCTGCTTTTTTATATTTTCTTGTTTTTCCAAAAGACTATTACTGATAGCATCTTTTTTATTTTAAAGCATATTTTCATTCAAATAGAATGCAGTATAACTCTGAGCTATATTACAGACATGCTGTGTGACCTGGGGTGAGCCACTTACCCTCTCTAAGTCTCAGTTACCTTATATTTAAAATGGAAATTGTTTTTAATTTGATATACTCATGAAATGTTTTTGGATTTCAAATTCAGAAGGATGAGTTAATCACGTTTCTGGATTCCTAACATCCTATCATCATCAATCTATGCCAGGGTCACGCTTATTGTATTGATTTATTTCTCTGTAGTCTCATTCCCCGTTCCCATATCCATCTGCTTTCACCCCTAGGCAAACATTGTGTTTCATGTCTTTTTAATTTAAGAATTTTTTTTTCTGCAAAATGCATGGAGTTGTTTGGTGAGTTCAATGTATTGTGACAAATTTCATTCTATTTCTTTCTTCTCTCATGAAAAATGGTGGCTTGCTTTCTTTTTATTTTGTTTTGTTTTGTTTTTTGAGACAGGGTCTCTCTATGTAGCCCAGGCTGGCCTTGAACTTACAGCTATCCTCCTGCCTCAGCCCCGCAAGTGCTGAGATTACAGGGGTGTGCCACCAGGCCCAGCTAAGAAAGATGGATTTAAGATCCTTCCACACTGCTCTGTGGACATGCCACCCTGGGCCTGAAAGTGCTGCAGTCTCCATGGATGCATCTGCCACACCTTATGTGTCCCAGGGAGGGAAACTCAGGTGTTCTCCAACTCCATGTCATCACAGACAACACTGCCATAAGCATCCTCCTAAGTATCTCCTGAAGAACCTGTGTGAAAACACTTGGAGACCAGTGTTCTAGAGCAGACAGGCTAGGCAACAAGGTGCGTGTATACTTACTTGGACCAATGTATGTCAGAGCCTTCCCTGGAATTTCTTTACATCCTGTGCTCCCAACAGCCACGTAGAAGTCTAATATCCCCGACTTCACCTATTCAGCTTTGTAACGTAAGCCAGCCTAAACCCTATCTCTGTGGTTTTCATTTCTAATTTATTTCACTGCCTCATATTTTGAGCATCTTGCCCTACGTTCATTAGCCACTGGGTTTCTTATTTTGCAAATCGTTCGTTTTCTTTGTCCATTTTTCCATTGGAAATGCTGTCTTTTTCTTGTTGATCTAGGGAGTTCCTCATATTCCAAATATCGGTGCCTTGACTGTTTTTGGGTATTGTAAATAACTTTTCCCATTCCAGCCTCATGGTTTATCCTTGCAAAGGGCTGAGATGGTTTTCTTCACCCCCAAGGTCAAAAAGGCTTTCCTTTAGGTTGTCTTCTTTTACCTTGAAAAGGGCTGAGGATCTGGTTCAGTGGAAGAGCTCTATCCTCTCATGCACAAGGCCCTGGGTTTGATTCCCAGCACCACACACACACACACACACACCTTGAAAGATCTACCTTTTGCATTTAGGTCTTCAGCACATCTCTTATTTGCAATGGAAACAAATCAGTTTGTACTTCGTGGCATTTCGTGCAAATCAAAACAGCACGGGTCAGGCGTCCAGCACTGTGCCTGGCTCACCAGCAGTGTGCAATCACGGGGGGGATGAGGGGGGCTGTTTTTAAGGCTGGGCTGGAATGGGGTGGGTGCTGCCCTAGGAAAAGCGCTTCCTAGAGGAGCTTAGAGACTGCTAAGCTTCATCAAGAAAGGTTTCAAAAGGGGAAGGTTACTGAGGTTCTACAGAATGCAGGATTCCGCCGTTTGGAAAGGGAAAGGCGGTCCTTGGGAGCTGGCTGGCCTGGAGAAAGGCAGGGCAGGAAGCATGACCTCGCGGGCGGCGCAGAGGGCCCTGCCGGGGACGCGAGCGAGCGCTCACCAACTGCTCTTCTCTCTGTCCTCCCCACGCCTTCCCGCTGCAGGCTCCTTGTTCTCCACCCTGAAGCCCCCGGACGCCGTGTTCAAGGTGGTGTTCTGGCTGGGCTACTTCAACAGCTGCCTCAACCCCATCATCTACCCGTGCTCCAGCAAGGAGTTCAAGCGCGCCTTCGTGCGCATCCTCGGGTGCCAGTGCCGCGGCCACCGCCGCCGCCGCCGCCGTCGCCGCCTGGGCGGCTGCGCCT